TGAGAGAGATGATGATTCTGAGACCACCCTATCCCAGCCATATTATTCACATATCGAGTCCCAACAGCAACAGTGTAGGGATGAGCACGAAATACTGTAAATTAAATGCTGAATGGCGGTTCATGCATGGAAAGAACATATCAATATTCGCATATTCATTCAAAAACATGAAAATTCTTAATGGAGTACCCTCATTTTTTATTGAATTCCTAAAAAACAATATTTATAATGAATTTTAATAATTTTTTCGAATTTTTTTTAAGCTTTATTCTGACCGATTCACCCGATTCTCGATCCGGATCGCCGATTCGCCGATCCAAATCAATTGTTTGAAAACCCGATCCAAGTCACCGATCCGTTTTTTAAACCATTGGTCACAAGAGTTTTCAACACTAAAATTGGGCCTTGAGGTCCTCCATGTATAAACCACTCCATTTTTCAAATTCATTAGAGTAAGTAAAAAAAGAATTAAAAAAGGAGTGGAAATTACACAAGTAAAGGAAAAACATGGGCAATTTCTGCTTAATAATTTCTAAGCGCCTTACCTTTCCATTCAAGTACTCTTTTATTATGACCTTACCTGATTTTCCTGTTTCTTTGACTCTCCTTTTTTTTTTTTTAAAGAAAGAGGTAAGAAAAACCAAAAAAATTAAGCTAAAAATAAAAAAGGCAGTCATGAATATTGTAGAATTAAAAAACAAGGGAGAATTTCTGGTTAAAAATTTCCAAGCACCTTATTTCAATGACCTTACTGATTTTTTACAGTTTTTAATCACAGTGTCTTGTTTAGACGTAGATCCTAATTTTAATTTCCTCTTCCTTCTACGTTATTAATCCATTTGAGTATTCACTTTAATGACTCTGACCTGGTTTCTAATAATGACCCTGACTTGTTTTCTAACAGTTTTCACAGTGTTTTCTTACGGTTGTTTCAGGCATAAACCCTAATTCCCCATAAGATTCCTTTACAAAACTGCCAAACACCAGTAAAAAGAGAAGGAATAAAAAAAAAAAAAAAAGCTTTGAAAGGTATTGTTTTGCCAAAGATCCCTCTCCTTGTCTCTATTTGCAGGTTCCCCCTCTCATTTTCTTCATAAATCCCTTTCTCCAATTTATTACAGTGAGGCTCTTATATCCACAATTTTCATCTCCAAAATATAATTTTTATCACAGTGAAGCTCTTACATCCACAATTTCGAGCTCCAGATCCTTCGATCCCTCCCAAATTAGCCAATTTACAGGTTTTCTCTGAGCTCTAAGGAGACATTCTTCGAGGTTTTGTCGAAAATGGCGACTGGTACAGTTTCAGCTTCATTCTCTTGTTTGAAGAGGTCGGATTGTGGTTTGAGCTTCTATAATGGAGTTGGGTCTGCAAAAATTGGCGTTACTCGTAACTTGCAGAGGATTAGGTCGAGGAAAAATAGGGTTTTGGTGGTGAGGAACTCTGGGTCTGAGACTGTGGAGTTACAACCTGCTTCAGATGGGAGTCCTCTGCTTGGTGGGTGGTTTTTTAAGGCTATGTTCATCTTGTTGAATTTTATCGATTTGGATCTTCTTTTATGGGTGTATTCTTTGGGTTGGTTTTCTCTTTTTGTGAAGTAGGGGGATTTTGATCCCAAAATTTGAATTTTTCTGTTTGTTCCAATTTAGAATTAGTTCAACTGGTTGAGTTCTATAATCAGAATTAGGTCTACATAAATTTTCCTACTTTTGTTTTTTTGGAGCTGGTAAGTTTCTTTAAGCTGGTTAGTTTGTTTGTATAGTTGAACTCTTTTAGTTTTATTTTTTTAATTTCATTCTTTCTTCTGCCTGCAGATACTTGTTCTATTTCCTTTTCTTTTTCTTTTTTTAATGTTGGAATGCATTTCCCTGTTGAGCTAAACCTTCTTGTGGTATGACTAAATTGCTCTTTTTCTTTGCTAGTAAAAATCTTCTGCTCTTTTTTCTTGCGTCACAAGAATTGCAATTTCATTTATTTTTTCTTAGTTGACTCATAATGCTCTCTCTCTCTCTC